GGCTAACGGTGCTCCTCTGTGCGCCACAGGCTAACGCCGCTCCTCTGTGCGCCACAGGCTAACGCTGCTCCTCTGTGCGCCACAGGCTAACGGCGCTCCTCTGTGCGCCACAGGCTAACGGCGCTCCTCTGTGCGCCACAGGCTAACGGCGCTCCTCTGTGCGCCACAGGCTAACGGTGCTCCTCTGTGCGCCACAGGCTAACGGCGCTCCTCTGTGCGCCACATGCTAACGGCGCTCCTCTGTGCGCCACAGGCTAACGCCGCTCTGAACAAAGACGCCGCAGCGACGCCGCCGGACGGGTTTGTGGTGTGGATGTTTGTCTGAAGCCATTTCCACAAGTTTAACCCCGGAAACGTGTGCATGTTTAGACATCTTTGTGAGGACAGAAAATTAGCATGCCACTATCCTCGTGGGGACAAAGTGCCCGAGTTTCAAGACATTTCTGAGACTGAAACTGTGGTTTTAGTCCCAGGGTTACAGCTGGGTTATGGTTACGTTTAGGCTCAGGGTTTCATTTTGATGGGTTAGGGTCAGGGCACCTAGTGAAGTCCTCACTCAGATATGAAAACCAGTGTGTGTGTGTCAGACAGGGTGGATTATCTGGTTCCACTTCCCCAAAAACACACGTGACACAAACACATGAAGAACAGCGACGTGCTGGAAAATAATCAAAAATCTAATATTTTAGCTTTATTTGTTCCTCCCCCAGGAGGAAAGCGTCTGCCGAGATCCGACACACACTCGGGCGATGTCGACTGCTCATCTGTTAAAGTGTGAACTCACCCTCTTGATGTCCTTGCCGAAGGTCTCGCTGAAGCTCGAGCCGAGGATCTCAAACTGGACGTGGGAGTTGGAGCCGTTGTCCTTAAAGTCCATCGTACCTGTCAGACCTGTGATATTTCCCTGAAGAGGAGAGTGGCAGAAAGAGAGGAGAGAGACGGGGGTTTAGAAGTCAGGCAGGATGATCTGTGCTCGCCGTCTGACAGAATCAGGCTTTACCCAGAACCTCCAGACGCCCCACTTTCTTCTTTTATTACTTTATGATCTTTAACTCGAGCTGCTACCTTCTTTCACTCTTTCTGTTGGCGTCTCAGCTTGACTGGCAGTGGGCTTTTGAAGAAAGACGATCTGAGGCAGACATTATATTTGGTTATTTCAGGAACAGTTTGTAATCCGTGTTCAAACGAGACAACTTCCTGTGCTATTGATGGATTTATGCTCCATAAATCTGTCAGTTTACCTGAACAACGACACAGGCAGCAGCCGTGCTTTTATATACCAATGGCAACCAGCTAAGTCGTCTATATCAAAGACGTGATTCAGATGAGTTGCCCCTGA